ATTGTCTTGCCGATAAACTACATCGGACATTTTCAATGTATCTATTAATCTTTATATATAAAGCCTTTTTATAGAGAGTTCTTCACAATTCATGAACCAACAATCCAACACAAAACAAGTAATTAAACATAATTGTGGAACCTGCAAATAGCCTTTGGACAGATCATTGGTTGTGAGGTTCTTTGCGTCTCCAATTTTCTCTATAAGATCATCTATGCGAGGGGTTGGATATGAATCAAACTTTGATATCAAGTTGGTCTATACAGAACCTTATTGTGAACCTTATTTTTTTGGGGACTAGCACAATTGGGTTGCAGTAGTTTATTCGTATTCCACAGGAGCTGGTAGGTGATGGAAATGGATGATGAAATGAATCTTCCTCTGGAAGAACGCTGCCTCTGGAAAAGAAATTCACACAAAAAATCATTAATTTAAACAGACGAGTTCTTCTGGGATTAAAATGGCCTTTTGTTACAATCAGGTCATGTCGACATATATGTTCATATACATGTACTGTCCAGTAAAATTAATTAATATAAATCCACAGTGTAGGAGTAGAAGATAAGACGCTGTACGAAGTTACGTTGCCTGTACAAACACAACTGAACTTAACACTGTTCATATCAACTGTAAATGTAAATACATGTCCTAGTCTTAACCGGAGGTGGCTGGTGGGATTTACAAATTTACTAACTTAAAACATATTATCAGTCTGATTCCTTCTGTAGCATTAAATATTGAATCCCATGGGTTTGTTTTTCCTAAAGAACGTCCTTCATTCTTGCTTGGTTTCACTAAAAATTTAAGATAAAGTCCTGAGCAGAGGCCTGCTCACTCCGAAGGACCTCAGCCTCCTCAGAAGGTAGAGGCGACTTTGGCCCTTCTTGTGCAGGGCGTTTGTATTATGGGCCCCCCAGATTCAGATTCAGATTCAGATTCATTTATTTGCCATTTGCAGTAAAACCACATTGGAAAAACTGTGCAAGACTACCCCGGTGTGCACCAGACACACACCAGAGCTCTTGCCACGGCGCCATCTTTACGGCGCATGTTGCCGTAAAGATGTCCCCGACCGAAATTCCAGATCGTTCCCCTGAGACACACAGCCCACGATGGCGGAGTCGTCGGAAAACTTCTGCAGGTGAGTCTGAAGTGTAGATGGTGAAGAGAAACGGTGAGAAGACAGTGCCCTGAGGGGCCCCAGTGCTGCAGACTACCACCTCAGACTCACAGCTGCGCAGCCGCACGTACTGTGGTCGGTCTGAGAGGTAGTTGATGGTCCATGCAGTGAGGCTACTGTCCACTCCCGCGTCCTCCATCTTCCCTCGCAGCAGTGCCGGCCTGATGGTGTTGAAAACGCTGGAGAAGTAAAAAAACATGACCCTCACAGCGCTCCCGGCGGGCTCCAGGTGGGAGAGAGTCCAGGGTGGGGCTGACCACAGAGCGCAGATGGGGGAGGATGAGCCGCTCCATGGTCTTCTTCAGGGGGGAGGTCAGTGCGACTGGTCTGTAGTGAGCCGGTTCCTTGGCGTGCACAGTTTTAGGAACCGGGATCACACAGGAGGTCTTCCACAGGACAGGGACCTTCTCCAGGCTGAGGCTCAGGTTGTACATGTAGCTGAGGACCCCAGAGAGCTGGTCTGCACAGGTCCTCAGCAGCCTGGGACTGATCCCGTCCGGTCCTGCGGATTTCCTCTGCTTCAGTCGCTGGAGCTGACTCCTCACCTGGTCCGGTGTGATGGAGAGGGGGGGGCTGGGGATGTGGGGGCAGGAGGGCCCGGGGCAGCCGAAGGCAGTGTCCACTGGGCCGGGGACGTGTGAAGAGGTGGGGGCGGGAGGGGGGGCAGATGGAGAGGGGGGAGAATCAAACCGGTTTAAATACTGGTTAAATTCATCCGCCCGGTGCTGATCTCCATCCGTTGTCCCTCTGTCACTTTGTCCAAAGCCGGAGATGTTCTTTAGGCCTCTCCACACGTCACGGGCGTTTCCCTGGGCCAGCTTCTGCTCCAGCTTTTTCCCATAGTCCTTCTTGGCCCTCCTGATCCTGCACTGGAGCTCGTGCTGGATCCTCTTCTGCTCCTCTTTGTCCCCTGAGATGAAAGCCCTTTTCTTGAGGTTTAGGAGGGCTTTAAGCTCAGAGGTCATCCATGGGTGGTTGTTGGAAAAGCACCGTACCTTCCTAGTCGGTACAGTGTTATCCACACAGAAGAGGAAATAGTCTGTAATACAGTGTGTCAGGCTCTCGATGTCATCACCATGAGAGCTGCAGATCAAGTCCCAGGCAAACTACCGAGTGATCGGAGCGTCCGAGCGGGGGGAGGGGGGAGGAGGCGTATGCGTCCCGGACATTTGCCTACAGTGAGTCAATTGTCTTATTCTCCCGAGTGGGACACGTGACACACTGTTTGAACGTCGGGAGAGTGGCAGAGAGGGAGGCGTGGTTAAAGTCTCCGCTGATCAGAATCAGAGCGCGGGGGCTGCAGGTCTGGATCTGGGTCATGGTGCTGTGAATCCCTTCACAGGCTGCGGCCGCGTCTGCTGACGGGAGAATGCAAACACACAGAACCATGGTGTTCGAAAACTCCCGCGGCAGATATCTGGGCCTCATGCTCAGAGCCAGCAGCTCCAGGTCCTGGGTGCATGTACGTTTAATGACATGAATATGAGCCGGGATGCACCACCTCTCATTCACGTACACCGCGACTCCCCCGCCTTTCTTCTTCCCACTTCCCTCCAGGCTCCGATCTGCACGCACAAGTTTAAATCCCTCCAGCGCGACCACAGAATCCGGTATATTCCCACACAGCCACGTCTCAGAAAAGCACATTAATCCACATTGTCTGTTCTCCCTCTGATGGCGGGCCAGTGCTACCAGCTCCTCAGTCTTATTAGAGATGGACCGTACGTTCCCCATGATGATGGAGGGAAGGTACGGCCTCCTCTTCCTCTTTCAGCCTCCCCTGGAACCTCTGCGTCTCCTACGGATCTCCACAGCGATCACCGGCTTCTCTGCATGCAGGAAAGCGGAGTCTCTAAGTCCGAGGAGCTGCTCCCGTGTGTAGACAATGGGACACGCGGGGGGTCTTGTGGCGCTGTGAGCGGAGGGATCCAAAAGTGCCGAAAACATGGTTATTCCGTCAAAAAAGTCAACAAGACTAGGCTTCCCGTATGCACTATTGCACGATATATCACCTCTAAGAATTATAATAAAAAAACAGCACATCTACAAAAATAAATTGTGAAAAAGGTCAGAAAGAGAGAGAGCCGAAGTGACGAGCTGCTCATCTGCGTGCTGGCGCCTGCCTATTTGATGGGTGAGGATGAGCCTCTCCATGGTCTTCATCAGGTGGAAGGTCAGTGTGACTGGTCTGTAGTGAGCCGGTTCCTTGGCTTGCGCTGTTTTAGGAACCCAGGATCACACAGGAGGTCTTCCACAGGACAGAGACCTCCTCCTGGTGAGGCTGAGGTTGTAGTTGTAGCTAAGGACCTCAGAGAGCTGGTCTGCACAGGTCCTCAGCAGCCTGGGACGGATCCGTTCCGGTCCTGTGGATTTCCTCTGCTTCAGTCGTTCAGCTCTGTCCTCACCTGGTCCGGTGTGATGAAGAGGGGGGAGTGGGGGGTGACCGGAGTGTACTGGTAGAGGTTGGCCTGGGGGTGTGGGGCAGGGGGGCTTGGGGCAGTCGAAGGCCACTGGGCTGGAGACGTGTGAAGAGGTGGAGGCAGGAAGGGGGGCAGATGCAGAGGGGGGAGATCCGCCTGTTGCTGGTCTCCATCCTGGTCTCCATCCGCTGTCACTTTAGCAATCGGAGATGTTCTTTAGACTTCTCTACACGTTTCTCCCTGCTCTAGCTCCGCTCTGATTAGCATCGCCTGATTGGTCAGAACACTGTTGTGCTTCCCTCATGTCTCATTGCTTCCCTCGTTCCCTCACGTCTCATTGTCTTCAGTCCTTTCACTCATGTCTCACTGTCTGTCTGGCGGCCTGTCCCTCTTGTTTTATTGTCTGCAGCCATCTCCTCATGTCTCACTGTCTGCAGCGCTCTCCCTCATGTCTCGTTGTCTCATTGTTTGCAGCACTCTCCCTCATGTCTCAGTGACTGTATGCAGCCCTCTCCCTCATGTCTCACTGCCTGTCTGGAGCCCTCTCCCTCACGTCCCACTGTCTGTGTGCAGGTACCGTACTAACGCCCAACTACCTGCGCTCTCCGAGGATCAGCGTGTCGCCATACTGCAACTGCAGCAACAGCGGCAACAACAAGGACGAGTGTGACAGGTTCACCCTGTTCTTTACAGACAACATGTGTCTGCGTAAGTCTGCTCTGATCAAACACTGATCCTGGCTTTCTCTCGCTCTCTCCCACTCTCTCTCTCTCTGGTTGGGTCTAAAGCTGGCCTGTGTATAACAAATGAGCTTGTGTGTGTGAGTGTGTTTATGTGTGTGTGTTGTCCTGGACATTAGTTTGGCTGTCAGCTGATGTTGAGTAAAGCACGGAGTGTGTGAACAGAATCCAAACAGGGGTGAAGTCAATCTAGTGCACTCTGACTCAGGGACATATGTGAACGCTCTGAGACAGATGGGTTTGTGATGATGATAAGTAACAGTCTCTTAGAGTTTCTTAGAGACACAGTCTCTAAGAGAAAGGACCTGATTTCTATAAGATATTATCAATAGTGGTACATTATTTACCAGGATTAGGTGCATTTTCAATTTACTTCATCCTGTACATTTGGTACACACACTATTTGTACAATCACTGTCACTATTTCTCTTCCATTTATCCAGTGTTGGATAATTGGATGTTTTATGATTATTATTTGTTTTTATTTTGTTGGTGCAACGTTTTAAAATGTGTACACGGCACATGTCTTCTACAATCCTTTAATAATAATCAAAACATCAAACTTGAATGGCGCTTTTTTGGATGCTCAAAGACGCTTCACATGGGGAAGCTAATAACTTGTGACAGCCAAGAAAGCAAATAGAAACTTCTAATTTCGAACTATATCTTTAAAGGCCTCCCTCTCTTGTGCTCGTTCCCGCTGGCTTGCTCATTAGGCCGACTCAGCAGTGAGGAGGAGCTGACAGAGTGTGAGAGCGTTTGACACTGGGGCTGGGGTCGCACCGGCAGCTCTGAAGGGGGAGGGTCCGGGTCTAGTCGTGGGAGATCATTAGTCTGTCTTCAGCACACACACTGGTCAAAATACTGCAGGATATTTGGATGCACAATCCAAGAGTTTGAGGATATCTGGAAAAGATAGTGAAGGCCATTTACTTGTAAGAATAAGTCCCTTCTTTACTGAAGGGATAAAATTACACTATCTAAGAGTGGTTAGCCCTCTCACTTCACAGCAAGAAGATCCTGGTTTGGACATTGATTTGTTTTGGTTTCCATTTTATGTATTTCGTTTAATGCTCACCTTTTTTCTCTTTGATAATTCTCAAACTTTTTGTCTTTTTTAACAGACACAGTACCTTTTAAGTGCTGTGTGCTAAAGTACTGTGTGCTGTTGGTTTTTGTGAAGACACAGAGACTTTTTCTAAAACCCTATACGAGTCTGTATTCTACACTGAGAGCACACAGTCAGCTGTTTTTGACATCACAGTCCTGTTTGGTGACATCACTGTGTGACATTACAGTGTGACATCACAGTGGGACATCACAGTGTGACTGCCCTGTTTTGGTGACTGTGGTGGATGTTTGGTGACGTCTGATGACCTGTCAGTGCATCTCTGTGTATTTACAATCTACACAGATCTTTAGGAAGTCAATGAACTAAAGACATTATCATACTTTTATGTTAACCAACACAATGACTCGCCTTCATTTTACAGTTATCTAAAATAGGAAATATGATTAGCCATCACGACATGTTTATTAGGAATCGCTGCAGTGGACCTCAGAAGGTTCAGGCTGGCACCTGTAACCCTGTCCTGGACCAGTCTGCTTAAGATTCCAGACAGATTTCCCCAGCCCAGTCCTACGGCCGTTCAGTTCTGTGTGGAATAGTTGTTGGTGTCATTTCGGTGCATATTTTGTATTAAATGAAATGTTTTGCGTTTAACACAAGTCTGAAATAACATTCATATTTTTCCTGTTCACTACTTTTATCTATTTGGATGTGGCTTCTTAATCCCACTTAACATAATCTCTGCTCTTTGATATAAGTTGTGCTCAGTGCGCTTCCCTGACGTTTGGGGAAAAGATTAAATATGAGATGGATTAAATATGTACATAAACACAGATGTTTACGTTTTATAAGTATTTGTGTGTGTGCGCATGTGTGTGTGCGCATGTGCGCGTGTCTGTTGACCCAGGACTGAGGCAGTAGATCCAGCACTAAGGATGTAGATCCAGGACTGAGGTTCCCAGGGAAGGGGGGGGTACAGCCTATGAGAAAAGCTCATAATAAAGCTTGATCTTGTGATCTTGTTACGACCACAAACATAAAGTCACAGAAAAGTAACGGACACCAGTTCAGTGGAAGCAGATTTATAAAGAGTGGAACATTAAATATAGTTTTTGAACATTCCCCACATCTTTCCCTAAAGGCTTTACTCACAGCTCCAACTCGGACAACACTGATAACAGATGCGGACACGAGGCCCATGGTTACACTGGAAGAGGCTGCAGACATTATTTAGTGGTAAAAAGAACGTCTTGAAATAGAGGCACAAGCAAAGCAGGACACATCCAACATGTGGAAGTAGGAGCAGTGGATAGAAGAGATCAACACTATACTATCATAAGTGTGAGGGTGGGGTAGTGTCATGCTGTGGTCAGAGGAGACCAGAATCTGACCCTTTAGTCTAAATTCAAACTCTGATGTGTGGTGAAAAACTATCGCCGAGTATCACCAGAGTCAAACACAGCCTCTCCTGAAGTGTGAGTGCTCCTCCACCCAGTACTGTGTAGCGTTTAGGGAACAGAGTGTGCAATAGGGACAGTAGTATAATAGTGCCTCCATCATCTCAAAACATCCTCAGTGAAACTACACTCCACATCCTCCAAGCATTGTGTCCAAAGGCTCATAGTGTTTTCAGCCAGGAACATAAATAAGAACGAGGTCACTTGTTTGAAATGTCAACTGAAGCTCCTGCAGCACAATCTAAATACCATGAGCTGGTCATAAATGTGAAACAGTACGGTGCATATGTTTATGACGGAGACAATAACCCAGGAATAAAGATGATACACTGTTCACAGGCAGAGAGTGGTGAACCCTGTAGTCTGTAGTGAACCCTGTAATTTATGGTGAACCCTGTAATCTGTGGTGAACACTGTAATCTGTGGCGCACCCTGTGATTTCTGGTGAACCCTGTAATCTGTGGCACACCCTGTAATCTGTGTTGAACCCTGAAGTATGTGGTGCACCGTGTAATCTTTGGTGAACCCTGTAATTTGTGGTCAACCCTATAGTCAGTGGTGAACCCAAGCATAAACTTAAACAGTTGTGGTCTACTGTGAGGTGACCGATGGCATAACATGTACAACTGTGGAAGAGTCCACATTTTCTTCCACTTTATCCATTGCCGAGGGCAACAGTCTGACCAGAGATGCTCTAGACACACACACGCACGCGCGCATGCGCACACGCACACACCCTCCAGCTCATCCGGAGGAATCCTGAGGCTTTCTCAGGCCAGCTGAGAGACACAGTTCCTCCTCCTGTGGCTACTCCAGGGCCTGCTCAACTGGCTCCACGTCCCATGTGACTCTGACTGCAAATGCTGCTTTCTCTACACCACAACAGTCTGATATTGTCCAGATGCATCAACGTCATCCAGTCACGTGATTGTGAATGAGCTTACGGCGGAAGTATTGGAAACTAGCATTGCTGCGAGAGCAAAACGGACACAACTCTTAAAAACGGAGCTTCCTCTCCTAAATCGAGAAGTGGCTGCTTCAAGCACATGTTCGATTAGGTTATAGGTGGAAGTAGGACATCAGGTCAGGGCTCACAAAGAGTGGTATTTGGAGAACTTAAGGATTGCCTAACTGGATGTTGACCCGTACCTTCTCCCCCCAGTCAATTTGATCGATTAAATAAAATGTCTATTTTTGCCCGAATTCACCCTACATGATCTTTATCATTATCGTTAACAATGCTTCCCCTTACACTGGAGCAGATTTATATGTACATTTTGCTGGTAGCATTAGCAATAGTCCACTTTTCTGTGGCTTTTCTGTCTACAGCCAAACATGATACGTACTGACGGAGAGGAAAATAGTGAAACAAGCAATTGACTTAAAAGATAAAAATGTCAATGTTGCAGCGCACATACAGGACAGTAGTAAGAGACACGTTTGACGTGTGTCATTGTCCTCCAAAATAATGGAAATAAAATAAATACAAACTTGTGATTGCTTTATCTTGTATAAAGGGTTCACTGCATATTAGGGAGTACTTGGATGGGTCCCAGTGCTTTTGGTTGATTGCCGCTGGCCATCGTCGTCTTCTGTCTTCATGACGAGCAGGTATCAGACAAAAAAGCTTATGTCCTTTCCTGTTAGTATAATCAACCACACTGCAAAATGTCACAGTTTTGGCTGTAATGCGCTGAAACAGGTTGTTTTGGTCAGGTGTCCGTAGGCTCGCAGTTAGACTTCTGCCGTCTGTCATGGAGAGTGGGCGTGGCCGGGACGTCACATGCAAGGGGTCAATAGCGACTGGATGAGTTCAATGGTCTCAGAATCATTAGATTTTAAGCATTGGGAGATTGGGGAGGATTGACCTTTAGGCTGTCTTACATCTAGCTGCACAGAATACAATACAATACAATTTATTCTTGTATAGGCTTAGGTCACAACAGAAGTCATCTCAGAGGACTTAACAAAACCATTGAAATCCCCAACACAGATCAGAGAATCAACAATTAAAACACATGAAAAATATAAAGCACACACAGAAGAAAATGTCCATACATGTTGTAGAATGTTAAAGTGTCCTGGATCATCACCAATCCTTTCTGCTGGACACTAACTGTCCAACAAGACCCTCCTGCATCGACAAAGGAAAAACTCTTAAATAATCCAGTGGGAAAAAGTGAGAAACCTTGGGTCAGAAAACAATTTATAGACGGAAGAATGGGCAAACCAACATTCCAACAAACCCTGGAGTCTAAACACCATTGGTGAGTAAAGAACAATGTTAAGGTCACTGAACACTAATATCCAGTGGCTTTTGTACATGTTAGTAACAGTTACTGACACCACAACCTTTTCTGTTTTTCTGTTGAGAGGTGAAAAGTCTTTGGGTTTGGTGAGTGGGTGAATGTGAAAGCTGACCCTCCACTGAGCACATGTGAAGACCAGTGATAGGAATAACGGCGTTACTAACGCCGTTACTTTTTTCAGTAACGAGTAATCTAACTAATTACTTTGACTGTAACTATAACGCCGTTATCATTTCCGACATCCCGTTACTGCGTGTTACTCAAGACGCACAATAAACTTCTCTTTTTACTTTGTGATAGGACTCGTGCGCGTGTTGTCATGAGAGAAGGGAGGATGACAAAACCTCTCAGCAATTATTGGCTGATGTAAAACATATTTCCTTTACAATCTACATGTCTACAGTTGAGAGGATGGCTTTTGTGTTTTTGAAACATATTTGGGTCTTAATCGCGCTCAACCACGGCTTGTATTACCGTGAGGCCAGCCTCAGAGGAGTGCATGTGAGCGCAGAAGTCGGCTGCATACAATTCCATCGATAAGCTCCTTTCTCCTCCTGGTTTATCTGCTAAGGACAGCAACAGGTTTGGCTAACATACATATAACACATTTTAAGATAATTTAAAATGCACTTACAGTAGGGTAATTTTTCAATTACAATAGGAATGATAAGAAATAGAGGTGAAGTGTAAGACGGTTGATTTTAGAAATTGGATGCACCCGGCTGCAGCTAGCAAAACAGAGGAGTTTATGGAGGACACACGCGTTTTGTTTTACTTTTTAAAACTCATTGGACTCATTTCCAAATGGAGGATTACATATCTACGCTAAAACTATTATCTGGACTTAAAGACCTTATGCCGGGTTTGATTTATTTAGAAATACAGATTTAATAGAATTTTATATTAGAAGAGAACTACTAAAGGTTTCAAAATCAGTTGTTTTTTTTGTCTGATCCCCCCAAATCGAAATAACCCCA